ATGTGCATAAAAAACTTTTTATATGAGGTTTAGTCTAGATGTACATCCAGCAAGCCGAGATGAAGTCAATCAAAACACTTGTCTTGGCATACAAGACAATTAACAGACAATCATCTACTCATCTGGCAAACTCCTTAGACCCATATCACATGTAACTTGTCACGCCCTTAAAATGACAAAAAGACTAAGCACTTTGCCGTTTCCACACCCAATTTTTACTACAGACTGGCAGAATCCCACCCAATCTTCAGGCATTGACTTAAGACTCACTTCTTTTAACAATAACTGGATTAATTGTGGCTGAGGAAAAATATTGTGTTGGCTTGTTGGTGCATTTTATTTGTATTAGTTCATCCTTCTTATCCCAACAGTCAACTTCCTGAAATACATACTTGCCATCTGCTGACCATGGCAGTATCACATGTAAAACTAAAGCACAGGGCTCGACAATAAGGGCTGCCCGATGGCCCGTGGCCAGCGTGAAAGATGTTTGGGACAGCTCACAGATTTGTCACTGGTCTGATTGGCCACATGTTTTTAAACCTTGCCAATTTAAACATTCAAGCAATTTTTAAAGCATTCAAGCAATTCAAGACACGAAAGACACTTTAGTACTCACGCACTGTACTAAACTACTTTACTACATTTAGTACTGTGTGCACAGTGTACAAAGTCTCAGACTACGTGCAAGCCTCATATTGCAAGTCAGCATGAAATGGAAGTTGCAAATCACATTTTTCCATATTGTGAGGTATTTCTGAGTAAAACAAAAAATGTAGGATAGGAATGCACTAATAAATCAAATAAAAAAAAAAGTTATATTAATTTTGACATCATGGTGACTTAAAAACAATCACGAAATGATATGAACTTGCTAACTGGTTGGTCAAATAGTTGACCATTCTGACTAGAATAAATGAAAACTACTGCTGTTCAAAAGTTTGGGATCAGTAAACATTTTTTTCTGAAAGAAGTCTCTTACGAAAAAGAAAAATCAGTAAAGATACAGTGTGGCTCCCAAACTAGACCTCAATCTGACCCCGCCATAGAGTGAGCATTAAGAGGTGCTGACAGAGACTCAACACTAACACTACCCACCAAGCCCTCAAATATGAATCATTGGAGAGACATTTGCACACACATACAGAGAAACAGATGCCCGGTTTCACACTCCTCTGCAGAGTGTATCACATACTGATAGCGAAATGCATCTATCACCTGGTAGGCCAAGGTCTGAAAGAAATAAAAGGAAGCATATGTGCAGCTGGAGTTTTTTTTCCTACGCTCTCCTTACCTCCTGACTGTGACATCGTTTGCTGTCAGGAGCATGCAGGATGAGGTCACATTATGAGGTGTGTGCTGCATGTGTAACGCTCACACATGGTTTATTACTACAGTGAGGTCATCGTAACACTGTGGACCTTGCCTATTAAAAAGACACACGTGACATGAACTGAGGCTCCTCGCTCTTCTGAATAATAACCAGTTTTTGATACCCAACTCAGATAATGGCATTTGGTCCAATTCACAATAATAATTGTTTCGGCCCTTCAGAAACTAGGCACTCACAGCCAAAATGGCCAATAAAAGGTGTCAATGTGCTGAGAATTGACTCCTGTGTCTATCTTTGTTTGGACTCTTTGTTCTTTCTCTTTGGAAATGCATGTCTCAGTGGAGTTAGTAACGGGAGCACTAGGATGGCACGATTTGTTTAGTGCTCTTCATCGGAGCGTGATGGGGGTCTTGGAGTCCTGCCTGCTGCGGTCAGACCGTTTGTGTTTGGGTAGCCTTGTGGAAAAAGTGAGGGGGAATATGCTGTGGTGCTTACTCAAAATAATAAACAATATTTTTATTTTGTGAGTCAGTGATGCTAGTACTTCAAAAACAGAACACAGCACAGTCACATTCGTTTAGAACTAAAATCCTGCTCCTCATTAATATTAAACATAAAACATGGATGACGAGAGGTTCCCTAGATGCTGTATGAAATATCGTGACATGACGTGACGTGACATGTGACATGTGGCCAAGTATGGTGACCCATACTCGGAATTAGTGCTCTGCATTTACCCATCCTAAGTGCACACACACAGCAGTGAACACACACAGACCGTGAACCGTGGACAGCCATATATGCTGCGGCGCCCGGTGAGCAGTTGGGGGTTCGGTGCCTTGCTCAAGGGCACCTCAGTCGTGGTATTGAAGGTGGGAGAGAGTGCTGTACATTCACTCCCCCCACTTACAATCCCTGCCGGTACGAGACTCGAACCCACAACCTTTGGGTTATGAGTCCGACTCTCTAACATTAGGCCACGACTTCCCGCAAAAGAACTTCCAGAACTATCTCTCAAGTTCTGGAAACAACTGTCTGGAACTACATGCTATTTGTTCTTAGTTTTATTTTTTCAGCACAAACTTGTTTTCACTGCTCTGATTGGCTGTAATTCTGCAACATTTTTTGCTTTTAGTGTGGACACTGGACAGATTTATTGCCCAATAGATTTATTGTTTGTCTCTGAAAACTTTTACATTCTACGTCTTAATCGAATGCAAGGTAATAAAAAGGCGAATGGTAACAGCTTTCCCATCCATCAACATTTTGCAGATCACTTTGCTTCTATTCAGTCCAAGTAGCATTGTGCTGATTAACTCCATCCACTCTAAAACCTGATTGGTCCAAAACCCTGCTACAAGTGACAGTACAGTACGACAAATACGCTCTTCACCACTCTGATTGGCTGTGATTTTGTTATGTTATTTATTTCAGGGCTTTTTCACTTTTTAGTCCTAACGAACAAATGACCTAAAGGAGTCACCTAAAAAATACCTAAAAGTACCTAGAAAGTAGTAACATCATGTCTGGTTAGGACTACACACCACTAAATATGATGGGGTTGGTAAGATTCTTTTAAATGTTTTTGAAAAAGTCTCTAATGCTCATGAACGCTGCATTTATTTGATAACAGAAATATTGTGAAATATTATTATTTATTATTTAAAATAAATGCTTTCTACTTGAATATATTTAAAATATAATTTATTCCTGTGACGGCAAAGCTGAATTTTCAGCAGCAATTACTCCAGTCTTCAGAAATCATTCTGATATGCTGATTTGGTGCTCCAGAAACATTTCTCATTATTATCAATTATCTCTATTATTGCTTTTTCAGGATTCTTTAATGAACAAAATTTAAAAGAACAGCATTTATTTGAAATATAAATATTTTGTAACATTATAAATGTACTTAGAGTCACTTTTGATCAATTTAATGTGTCCCAACGTTTGAATGGTGGAGAAGGTTAAAAAAAAGCAGACAATTAAATCACAGTTCAGCTCTTGTAATCCCTATTTTCCACTTCATCTTTTATCTGAAACACTACTCGAATTGCACAAGAACTTCAAATGCTGTGAAATGTCTGAACAACATCTTGTCCATCAAAACCACAAATAACACATCTGTTGGCAATCTTCAAATGCAATAAAATTAGTGAGCCCTTCCTTTAGTTGTGTTAGCATCCAAAACACCAATCATTTCAAATTCATAATCACAGATATTTTTTTTGCCTTATTCAGAAACCTAAAAGCACCCTTGAACTTGACAAACACAGCAAGGGTTATGATGCCCAATGAGAATGTACTGATAGGGGCATCCTTTTCCCACACACACTTTGAATCATCTCAGCATGGCCTCAGTGTTTCTATATGTGAAGCCATACGCACATTGCAACAGAAACCCTCCCACTGCTTCAGCTCTAGGAATGTGTTTTGTTTGGAGGCCTTTTTGGTGGTTTATTAGATCTTAAGAGGATGGCCTCCAAGAACTTTTTCACTTGGGATGACTGTCCTGCTGAAGCCAAGGATCGAGAGCGGGCCAAACAGGCTGTAACTCTTATTGCATAAGTCCCATTCCCTGAACACAACTGCATTTGTGATAAATAGTTTAAGACGACGACATTTTTCCACAAACGGAAAGAGGCGAAAGTAAAGGAAAATGTCTTGCTCTGCATCAAAATCACTGTGAGGTTTTCTTACCTCAACACGTCCTCTGGAAAGACGAAATTATGGTTTGAATTTAACTTTTTTCCCCATTGGAAAGGTATGAATCTCGGTGACTTGGCACTTGCAATATGAACAAATATTTGTAAATTGATTAGAAAAGGCTAAATGGTATTTAAAAGACATTTGTGAACTTTGCTACAGGAAATGAACGGTTAATATGGAGAAAAAAATTAAAATACAAAGCAATTTTTGGGTTAACAAAGTAGGTAATGATAATGTCTGCATATACTCAAATATAAAACAAACAAAAAAGTAATTATGTCTGAAAATACTCTTATAAGCAACTAGGGACAGCCCTCTGTTGTACTTAGTCTTCTGTCTGTTCTGACCACCAATGATCACAAGTGTGACCCCAGTTATGACTACCAGTAACAGAATATAATATTTGAAGCCATCTTTGTTGTGCTGTACAAAGCACACAAAACGATTAAGTCAGAACATAGAACACTAAGACATTTTCTGGGTTGCTACATGTCTGAAAATGAATATGATAATTGGGACTTTAAACAGCTAATGAGAAAACTCTTAAATGGTCTCGTTTTGAAACTACCTGTATGTTTATTTAGTATATTGCATGCATGTTTTAAATCAGAAGGAACCTACTAATAGTACAAACATTTCAGTGAACCTTTAGCTAAAAACCGTAATATATTTCCCAGATCAATCTGACATATTGACTGACATGACCTATCAGGGTTTGACTGTCCAGTTCGCGAACTACAGTAACCACCATCCCTACTACAATGTTTCATAACAACACGAGAAACATAAAATCCGGCTAAAAGCACAAATATGACCAATTAATGCACTCTGCGACATCCTGTTTCATCATTCCAGTGTTTGTCACAGCATGGTTGTGAGTTTACAGGCTAAACGCTAATGCTAACAGGATGTGCTACTTCAACAGGATGCGAGCAGAAATAAATGTCTAATTTATTACCTTGGCTCCCTCCTTTCGGTCTGTATAAGCGTCCGTCAGGGTAGACGATCTTCTGGGTAGTGTTCAAAGGTAGATAACAAAGGGTATTCCGGAGTTCTAGGTGGTGTTGCATCGTTTCATGCTACACTGAGGTTGGCCACTGCAAACAGCGCGACTGACAGACTATACACAAACACACAGTAGATCACATCACCACACACTCTCTGCGCCCGCCTACCACATGTGTTTCCATAGTACAGCTGTGCAGCATGAAATATTCATTCTGTTAGCTGCCTGAAAACAACCCAAACTACCTGCCATACTAATACATATATAAATCTACAGCAGTAGTCTGAGTTATGCACAGATACGGTAAACTGTTCCGATCCCTCTCTGTCTTTTCTAATCTGACTTGCTTCTGCTCTATGTTTTAAATTGCCAATCATTTACTCGAATGTATTGCATGAGTCATTGAAGTTAAGTATGACTCATTCCTGCACTGAAGATACAGCAGCATTAGCCATAATACACTTTGACATTATTGAAACAAAGCATACGCACCAGTTCACTTAGCCTAAGTTTATTATAGGGATGTGGGTGTTTTATCTTCGTTGTTCTGTCTAAAGCACACAATGTCGATTTGAATAATTTAGTATATTAAAAAGCCTTACTGGGTTACTACATGTCTGAAAGTGGAATGGATATGAAAATTAGGACTTTACACTAAAAAGGTAGGAAAAAGCTCTTAAAACTCTCAACTCTTCCATTTTTTTAAGGAACTAGTCACTGAAAGGAGGTGCACAGCCGCTCAAACGTTTAAGGTCAATAGAACCTTAAAAACTTTATTAAGAAATGAATTATTAATTAAACTGACCAAAAGTGACAGTAAATACATTTGTTACAACGTATTTATACTTCAAATAAATGCTGTTCTTTCAAACAGCTCATCAAATAATCATGAAAAAATATATCAGTTTCCACGAAAATATTAAGCAGCACAACTATTTTCAACATTGATAATAATAAGAAATATTTCTTGAGCAACAAATCAGCGTTTTAGAATAATGCGGTTTTAGAATGAACCTTGGTGAACATAGAACTTTTTTTTCTTCAAAATTATCAAAACTATAAAATTATCTTAATTTTTTTTGTCAGCAGGAAAAACAAGAATATTAAAGTAGATGTTAATTTTCCATTTATTTTCCACGAAGCCTGCAATTTTGAATTCTTGTTACCAATGTGGTTAAAATCCCGATTTGTGTTATTTAGCCATTTTTAAGCATTAAATGAAAAATTTAAATAATTCCCAAAACTGACAAATAAAATGTTTTTCTCAAAATTGTTTGCAAATTTAGCCTGAATTAAGCTACCATTCAGATGAACTTATACATTCACCATAAAATAATGCATAAAACATTGTTTTCTTATAACAGTTTGACATGTTTGGAACTGCTTATGTTTCATTAACATAGGTTAATGTTAGATAATTTTTTATTAAACATATCAACAAAAACATGGGATCTGTAATTATCATTTTTACCAACTTTAAATTTATTATTCATTTACTTTGTACAGAATCACATGGCCACATTTAATGTTACAGGTCTCCCATACAATAGCATTGTGCAGTTTCAATATTGTCCAGTAATAATAATAAACGAAGTCTATTGTTTCAGCAGTAGTGCTCCAGGAGAGGAAAGAATGCTGAACGCAAACCACTGTGTCCTAACGTCTTCTGGGGAGTAATGCTATCTCTATTGAGGACTGTTTAATGTACTTGGCCATCGGTCAGATAAACACACAGAACAGTCAACGGCTCTGTGGAAACAAGAGGATGAAGGAGTTTATTGTGATCCATCTCCTTAATCCACACTGTGCCAAATTTATCCATATACAGGACATTTCCTCATCATGGAAGCTGGGTTGTAAAATAGCAGCCAGGAATATCTTCATCAGTACAGCGTGCAACGGATCAAATAAAAGAGAGAAAAAGGAGGAATGGATATAGCTGTAATTCAAGCAGGAGCTTGATAAAGGAAGTGCAGATTCCAGAACATACAATGGAATAAGAACAGAGAAAGGCAATGATCTTCAACACAATTACAGGAATGTCTGTTTTCCTTAGTCTAAAGGAAATACGCAAGCGTGGCACAATAACTAAAGCAAATCTCTAAAAGAAAAATAAGTCATTAACAAAACAACATGCCTGCATGTTACATGACATCCAAATAATACACAACCTCTCCTTTGTTCTGAACAACATAATACAGATATATGCATATTAGCCATAATAAACTGAACAATTTACACACACACACTTAACAGGGCAAGATATTGACACTGTTCAGGATCGCAAAGTGCTTGCAAGTTTTGTGAACAGCAAAGTTTTACAAAGTGAAAATATAATGAACCCAAATGATTAAACAAGAAAAATGTACAGTGTTTGAATTAAGTTCATTTTTGCTATTTCTTAAATACAGAAAACTAATGTAGCAGTGATATTATTCTGATGGAGAACTCCTATATCCATTTGAATATACTGAGTCCATCAGTTACGGTTAATCATTTCCTATAATACCTTAAATTATATAAAGATTTAAAACTATTTTATGTTTTATTTCCTAAGTTATGTGAGGTTTCCAGTTTAAACAGTACTGAAAAATAATGTGTTACAGTCCTATAATATCATGTGATATGACCAATGCGCACTGTATTGTTTTAATATAGGCTCAGTAATCCAATATTAGTTGGATTTATGTGAGATAAAACAGAGAAATGTTTTCATAAAACAAAAGGAATGTACATACTTGGGAATCATGGGAACGGTAAACTATAATTGTGTCGTATATTCTTTTTAGTTATGAACTAATATGCAAACATGTTGACCATAGTCACACGTTGGTTAAAGAACCTCACATTTTAGTTCTCTGTGTTGTGTTTTATCCATCAGAAAGGGGCCATATAAATGTGTTCCTCCTTATGATTTACGTATTCAGATGTTCCGTAGCCCTCGCCATGGGAAGACATAAATCATAGGTGAGCAAAATGTCAGATCAAATAAAGCGTTTATGGAAAACTGGAATGTGTAATTCTTTAGAAACCCACAGCGCTGAAAGGAACAAGAGAAAACACAAGAATAACATTCACCATCCAATGATCTACGAGAAGCTTGGCACTCAAAGTGTGAGCCACCATTCAGTCAGAAATCCTACAATGGATGAGAGTGAAAATAAGCAACATCACCTGCATGTTGAATGGAACTCTTAAGTGCTTGTAACAGTGAGTCCATGAGAAGATATCAGACTGGCTTGTCATTCTTCACTACAGAAATATCAACAGAATGCTACTGATGCTGAGAATTCACTCCGCTTGTAAGATTTCAGTAGGATGTTGGTGCCCTCCATTGGTCGCATGCTGAATCAGTCCCAGTGCATTTCACACCATAATGCATCTGAGCTCCTTTTCAAACCTCTGTGGAGAAAAGCATACTCTGCCGTTTACTATCTGGCGTAGGGATCGCCTCCAGCTGCAGGAAGTACAGTAATATCTGGACCTACAGAGACGGAGAGGAACAAATACATCAACACAGCTATTGTTTTGTACATGACCCATTTTGATGCTTTCAGACTTCAGGGCAGTTCAAATCAGAGCTCATAGTGTATGTGTGTTACCTGAGACATAACCTCAAGAGACCAGCTGTCACTCATAGAGATGGGCTGCGTGGGATTGGCTGGAATTTTACTGTCCTTTTCAGAGGGGCGAAGGAGGGTCGGGCCGAATACTGTGGCGAGATTGTGGAAGGACATCTTGTTGACGCTCTCATTCTCAGCAACCCTGATGAAAATAAGAAAGAAACATATAGGTCTTAAGCAAATGTGAATGGTGCTTGCCTGCCCATAAAAAGTTGCAATCTCAATCTCCTTTTGCTTATTAAAGACAGGCTGTAAATTATGGGGTTAATTGTGATTACTCTATTTGATTAATAGCCCTAATTTGCATATAGTTTTGTGAAGAAAAAAAAAAGTAGTTCACTGCTATGCTGTAGCTAGTGTGTTTCTTTTGGTTCTAGATTGGTATCATATTATCGCAAACACCAGTTCAAATCTATTTACACTTAGGAATCATGTTACTGAAATTGTTTGATGGGATCAGACTGCACCTCTTCAGATGGTCCAGTAGAAACAGGAAGGTCAGCAGGTTGGGTTCAGGTAGCGAGAGCAACAAATTGAGCATACAGCTTTCCTTTGCCACACTGTCTGATAATGCTGAAGAAAATAAATAAACAAAAATCAACGATTAACATGAAGTGTTCTGAATAAATGATCATGCATTAGAACTTAAAAGAACACCGACCAATGCCTTCAGTGAAATTTGCGTAGAGTTCGTCAGTGAAGAGGGGCTCAGGAAGCTCTCTGAAGTAAAGCTTCAGCGTTCCAGCAATGGCATTCACGTCCATCTCACTCATCATAACGGAAACGTCTTTATTGTCTGTTAATTCACAAAAAAGTACTAATTTTTAGCCATAACAACAACACATATCATATTAAATACATAATATATTAAAATACATTTAATTATATTATAATATTTAATTTAATTCAACTTTAATATTTTAAAATGTAATTTATTTTTATTTAATTTAATTGTTGGATCATCCCTACAAGAATTACTGAAGCACTTACTGGCATCAAAGGCAGCTTTTAGGGCTTGGATGTCTGTGGCCACACCAGAGACACGATAGATGCCCAGTTCCTCCATCCCTCTGCGCTCAATCTCTTCTACACACTGTCTCACAATAAGAGGCACTTTGGAGTGCTCCCGTCTAAGAGTAACAAACACACATGAATCAATAACCAGCATCTGGAAAATATATTTCAAATGATTTGTGCTCATTTTTTGATATTCAAGCTGTAAATACTATGATCACAGATTATGGGAAGATGCTTTTTTGTTAAACTGTATTTCATGGAAAAAATCAAATGAATGTTTTATTTTTAAGGCATTATTTTCTTGGCACATTTCTGGGAAGTAAAAAAATAACCAGCATATTCTGAGAGCTTGTTTATTTGTTCACTATGAATGGAAAAATTATTTCAACATTCTCATAGCCTATATTTAAAGCTACATCTGCATTCCAATATCCCAAAATCAACATCATAATGAGACCACCTGAGAAAATAAAAAAAATCTGTCTACCATATACTCCTCCCAAAACTGTCAAGTTAAAAAAAAACAAGTATTATTAGAGGACAAAATGAATTGTTGTTAAACTACAAAAAAAAATTTAATATCTGAGAGTCTAATTCCTAAATCCACAGTCCTGTTTTTATTGCAGTCCTCTGAGGGAAGCCCTTGGCAAACCCTTGCCTTTAATTATCATTTCTTCCTGTTTCTCAGGAAGTCTAGAATTTGGTTGCTTTCTGTTTTCCTTTCTGCTTTTAAGAACCCGTCTGACGGAGACCACCTTTCCTCAGCTTTATTAAAAGGAAGTTTCCCCCTCCTTATTTTAATGAGCCCTCATTTGAGTCATGTGGGTCTAGGAAAACACTCGGAGAACGGTCCCTGTGTCCTCTAAATTATGGGAAACATGGCTGACAGCTGACTGGTGTTGCTCTTGGAGTGAAAGATGGGTGAACGGAACGGAACTTCTTTCATCATTGAATCACGACTGTCTGACATAAAACTTGCATAAATGGTTACAATACAATATAACTATATTAATCCTTAATATAGGCACACTCACTAGCCATTTTAGTAGTCATTTTTGACATATACTGACATCTAGTGGTGTGGATGCAGCACTATTTAAATACAAAAGTTTTCAGTTTTGAAAGTATCCAAAAATATGGGGTTACAGAGTGAAAATAAATAATATTTAGCTTTTATTAGGCTACTGATATGACTGGAATCATATAATGTGACATTTATTTACTGAAATGCTATTAATTTTCTTCTTACCTTTTAATAGGGAAAATAATGTAATACCCCTTTTTAATTGAATTAAAACTGTGTACAGTGTATTTGTATCAGTCATACACTGGATTGACTGATTGGTTGGTTGACTCACTTAGTAACAGCCCCAATTTTGACTCCAAACACTCCGGACTGTTTCCTGGACGGCATCCTCTTCAGACTGAACTCTCTGCTGGTAAACCGCATAGACAGTTTGACCTCAATCTGGAAAGAGTGATGAATGTGCACAACTTTTTTTTATAAAAACATCTCACTGATGAGAACAAAACAACTCTGTGCTCAATCTCGCCTATCAAATAATCACAAATTAAATCACTGTAAACTGTGGCCATCACCTTAATATCAAGCCACATGACCATGATAATCCATCATTGTGCTTCATATTGCTAAAACTTGGTGGCAGACAAATGATTGTTATATATTGATTGGAGGATGTTAACGGAAAAAAGTACAGCTCTGTTCATAAAATACCTACACAATGGTCAGTAGGATTGTTTTTAAAGAAATTAATACTTTTATTCAGCAAGGATGCACTAAATTGATCTATTTTACATTGTTAAATGAGATTTCTGTTGATGAATCCTAAAAAATGTCTCTTGTAAAAAAAAAAAAACAATAAGTTGTGCAACTGTTTTCTATATGATAAGAAATGTTTCTTGAGCACCAAATCAGCATATCAGTATGATTTCTGAAGGATCATGAGGCTCTGAAGACTGACGTAAAAATTCACTGAAGTTGCTAAAAATTTAGCTTTGCCATTAAATATGTATGTGAACAGGGTCATTTTAGTTATTATTTTGACAAATGAGAAGTACTGAAATGTATCTGTTATACCAAAAACCTTTTCTATATAATTGTATTTAAATATCTCACAAAATCTGCAAAAGAGACAAGTGATAAGCACCTACATGTGCACTGCATATAGTTACAAGATATCATAATTTCAGTGTTCAGCAATGATACAGCAACATCTATTATTCACTTCCCAGACATATTCAGATGATCTTAATCAAGTGTGCTGGCCTGTTTAAATGTAAATGGCCATTTATTAAAATGACTGTTCCTATTATTAATAATTGTGTTATTATTGTGCAGGATGAGTCACACTGACCCCATTCATGCTGATGACTGTCCTCTGCCAGTCTTTACCCTGCAGCGATGGAGGATCCAGCTGTGAAAACAGGGACAAATGTCAATCAAGAGGATAATCCTTATCTGAGCATGACCCAAACACAGAGTCACCTGCTAAAAATGGCAGCCCAGTAAACACGCTATTGGAAAGTATCTACATTTCACAAAAATAAATAAACAAATGCACTGAGCCAGGACAAATGAATAGCTGCCCAGACACAAAGTACAGTATGTGAATGATGCAAACCAATGCACAATTCTATTTCAGCTTAACTGATACAGACAAAAAAATCACTTAAATTAACTGCATAACGTAAAGAACAATAAAATCCAAACAGTTTCCCTTCTTTATGATATGTCCATCTTCCCCAGTCTTATAGTATTACATAACGTCCACATAGTCATAGTTGTCAGCATTCTGTTCTAATCATGTCTCTAATACCAGGGCGTCAGTTTGTATTTATTGTGGTCTGCTATAGGTGTTGGTACAACATAATTTACCAGCTTGCTGCCAATGGAAAAACCTGTATTGATTGGTTATCTTTACTCATGCCAAAATATCTGATTTGTGTAATTCGAAGCAACTGGTGCACTCGTACATGGTGAAATCAATGTCAGGAATACCTCCAGAAAACATTGTCGGTGAACACAATCCACCGTGCCATTCGCCGTTGCTGGCTAAAACGCTATAGGTCAAAAAATTAAGATAAGATGGCGGCGCGTTGTTTTTGTACATCTCGATCAGCTGACATGCTATCGAGCAGACAGAGTTATCGTCGAGGGAGGTAAGACCCGCGGCGGAGGGCTTTGTGTTTACATCAATGATGCGTGGTGCCGCGATGCTGTTGTGGTCTGCAAACACTGGGTGGAGTTTATGATTATTAAGTGTATTAAGTTCTATCTACCGAGTATGTTTAAGCAGGCTGCCACATACAATAACACCACAGACCTCCAGGAGTACTCAGAGACTGTCACTGCCTACATCACCACGTGTATTGATGATGTAACAGTCTCAAAGACCATCACTGGCCGGGCCAACCAGAAGCCGTGGCTAACAGGGGATGTCTACGGACTCCTGAAGATGCGGAACGCTGCCTTCAGAGCTGGAGATGAGTGGGCTTGAAGACAGCTAGGGCCAGCCTTTCCCGTGGCATCAGGAAGGCAAAAAGTCAGTACTCCAGGAGGATAGCCCATC